GATTTTTTTCCCCAAGATTTTATTTTGTTTTGTAACTATGTAAAATAGTTATATGGTTTGGAAAGTCATATCTATAAAACAAGGTATATTAAAAGAAGTCTAGGTGCTATCCCTATCCCCCTCCCTTCTGTTCCTCCTTTCTCCTATAATTAACCCGTTCTTAAAATATTATGGCTTGTTATATTAATCTTTAATTCAATGATTGCTAAGTAGACCAATGGAAAGAGAAAAGAGATTAGAAACACACCCACACATATATGGAAATTTGATGTATGACTGCAGTGGCATTACAGATCAGTGGGGAGAGGATGGAAATATTTGATAAGTAGTGCTGGGTGAGTTTGTTTCCCATATGGAAAAAAATAGAGATAAAGAATAAATATGAAAAGCAAAATTTTTGGAAGAAAATGTGCAAGGATACCTTTATGACCTGAAGATAATTCTCAAGGCAAAGAACAGAGACCATAAAGGGAAAGACTGATAAATTTTAGTATATTAAAATTTCTGTACAATAAAAGCCATAAAAACAAACCACGGACTGGGAGAAGATGTAAATGTACTCCTTTTAGGCAAGATGGAGTAAAAGGAAAACAGCATAGCCTTCAGAATTCAACAGACCCGGGTTCAAATTCTATGTGACTTGGTGCAAATTAATTACTTAAAACACCTTTAAAGTCTCAATTTCAGTGTATGCAATACAAAGATACAAATAGCTTTCAGAATTTTGTGAGGCTTAAAGAAAATTTATGTAAAAGTGTACATTTAGAAATAAGGAATTGCCTCAGTGGTAACCATTATTATGAATAATTTTAATTTACAATACTTATAAGCAACAACTGAGTTACATTTTTAATAAGCTATTTAAAACTAACTGGAAATGTTTAGGGCTACAAATAAAAAACTAAAGTTCTGCCTTAGAACTTAGAACCTTGAAATAAACTTTGAAACTTGAAATAAATTCAGGGAAATCTATTTTTTGCAAAGGGTGAAGTATTTAGATCAGTGCTTTTGATTGCAAGGCTGGGGACCACCCAAATAACTAAAGCCAAAAAAGGTGGACTTATTGTACAGATTCTTAATGCCTGAGAACTGAAACTATTTAATAGAATTCTTAGCATTTTACTTTTTTCCTTCTACTTTCTAGTACTTCAGAGCTAAGCCTTCTATGGCCCATATTATAATAAATGACATCTTTTCGCTTCTTTCTTATCATTAACTATTTTAATATCTCTGTGTTTTGTTCCCTTTTCCTTCTCATAGTTATCATGCACACTCTTAAATTCCCTCATTTTTCTCTTTTTGTTGTTTACTGCTTGGTTAACTTCACCACAGAATTCTTCTGTGCACACAAAGACACATGCCATTGTTAGCCTTGTTCATGTCTTAATTCTGTTAATCTACTGCATCAAGAAATTTTCAAACCTCCTACCTGCTTTCTCCCCCTCTTTATTTTGGGGAAGGTGGTATTATTTTACCTGTTTTGTTTAGTCGACTGGCCTGTGACACTAACTATTTGTAAGGTTTATTTTTTTAGCAAGAAAAAGCTTTCTAGGTTTCAAAAAATGAAGTGTTAATAAGCTTACTGAAAATATTCAGCCTGAGGCCAAGCACGGTGGCTCATGCCTATAATCCCAACACTTTGGGAGGCCAAGGCAGGAGGCCAGGAATTCAAGACCAGTCTGGGCAACATAGCAAGACTCCATCTCTACCAAAAAAATGTTAAAAATTAGCCAGTCATGGTGGTGTGCACCTGTAGTGCCAGCTACTGAGGAGGCTGAAATGAGAGGATGTCTTGAGTCCAGGAATTCCAGGTTACAGTGAGCTATGGATGTACCACTGCACTCCAGCCCATGCAACAGAATGAGACCCTGTCTCTTGAAAAAAAGAAAAGAAGAAGAAGATGTTCTGCTTGTAGTTTAGAAGAACCTCTTCTTAATATTTATATATTAAAGAAATGCTATTTTTATTCAACAGCTTTAGTAATCACTGCTTTTAAAGTATTTATCTTTTTATCTGGTAGAAGAGATAATATAAAATCAAGTAAAGAGAGGTACAGGCAAACACTTGTACCTGATTTGGAAGCAACAGAATACCTAAATCGATGATTCTTGTATAGTTTTTGAATGAAAAGAGAAATGTTAGTATAGAATACTTAGAGTGCTAGTGCAAGTCTTTACCCTGGTTCTGATTTAACGCATTGTCAGATCTCCTGTCAATTCTCACTATTAATTTTTCTAAACTATTTCCCAGCTTTTCTTGTCCCTTCCCCTGCCTCACAAGCTGGGGCGCTGGCTTTTGTAAGAATAGAATAAGAAGATAGAGCAGATAGGAGGTGGAGGAACAAAAGGTGAGTAAGATTAGGTAGGTGTGTAAAAGATGGTCATGCACAAATTGTATATATACCCTTTCCCTTGAACTTTGAAAACTTCTGTTTAACTTAGAAATTCAGTATGTTGGATTAACTCTGCTCAATATTTTTTAAAATCTTTCTCTAAAATGTCTTCTATTTGTATCAACTACCTGATTTTATTGACTATTTGTTGTTAGTCTGTGGACTAAAGGCAGATCATTGGACTTTCATTATGTGCATTTACAAGTACAACATCCCTTTGTGGAAGGAAGAATAATTTTTAGTAATCTCTATAGTTTGTGAGATATATATCATCTGCCATTGAGTGTGATTTAGATTGGATTGACTTTTTACAAGCATACTTTTAGATTATTTATAATCACGTAATAAAGATAAACCTTACATAAAAGATAAGGAAAAAGTACATTTTCTTCTCAGGAATATTTTAAATGAATCATACCAAGTAATCTGTGTCATTAATTTGTGAATAACTATTTCCTCTGATTTATTAATTTTGTATAGTATGTGATACAAGTTAAATACAATATGTAATACAAGTTAAATTTTAGAATGTGAGACTCATTGGGAGATAAAATACTACCTACCACATTGGGGGTTGTGACTAGTATGTATAAAGGACTTTGAACACTGCCTGGCCCATAGTAAGTGCTATATAAGTTTATAAGTGTTAGCTAACATTTATTTTTGTTTTTGTTGTTGTTATCCAGTGGTAAATTTTTTTTTAAGCAATGTACTAGAGTTCAGATTTTTGAGATACAGTCATTTACTGATTATAAAACAAATACCTTTAAGTTCATTAGTACTATCTGTAGTAGGAGGCTGATTTTACTAAAATCATATAAATATACATATCTGTTCCTATTACTGTATTATGAATCTTTAAGAATGTCATGCTGAATCTGAGAATGCCAGGAGATTTCACATGGTATGAATGTAGGATATTTACACATTGATGTGCAGACAGCCTTTAAGTAAGCAAATTGTTGGTGATTGGTATCTCTCTTACTGTCTTACTCTAAGTCTTGTCATGTAATTTCAATATATAATATGTGGCATTGTAGGGTTTTTTCCCTTCATATTTTAATAATTAATAAATGTACATACTTAAAATGTCAGTACAAAAGGGAACAAAGAGAACATTTTAATTCTCTCCACCATCCTTAAACCCGTACTCCCACAGTTCCCTTACCCAAAGATAGAGAGCTATTATCAGTTTCTTAGATATCCTTTCAAAAATATTCTGTGCATTTACAAGCATATGCATATATATTCATTCTTGCCCTTTTTAAAACACATATCGTAGTGCACTATATGCGCTATTCTACACCTTAGCTTTTTTCACTTAATGTTCATGAAGATCAGTTTCATTCCATATCAGTATACATAGGTCAGTGTCATTTTTTTCTCAGGATTTCAGTCTATATTCCATGTATGTATAAACCGTATTTTATTTATCTAATCCTACATACGTTGCTTGTTTTGCATTTTTCATTTCTTACAATGTTACAGCTAATACCCTGTATATATATCTTTGTTCCTGTGTAGGTTTATGTATAAGATAAATTCCTAGAAATAGAATTGCCAAATTCAAGAGGATACATTTTTAATTGAACTAAATACCAGTTTATAATTTCCTCCTCACAGTGTTTGAGGGGGCTCTCTCCCCCTATTTATTCCCAAATAGCATATTATCAAGTTTTAGATCTTAGTTTGATGAGTGAAACCTATTATCTCATTATATTCTTTGCATCTATTTATTTACAAATGAAGTTAAGCTTTTTTATGTTTAAGTCATTTATATTTATTCTCTGCTATAATGCCAATTCACATCCTTTGCCAGTTTTTGTTGTTATTAGTTCTTATTAATTTGTAAAAAATCTTTAAGGAAATCAGTTATTTATGTTACCCTTTTCTTCCTGTTTGTTCTTTGTCTTTTGACTTAGTTTATTAAATTTTCCATGTGGAGAATTTTTAATTTTATGTAGTCCAGTATATTTTTAATCAGTTTTATGGTTTCTGAGTTTGCTGCGCATGTTATTCCCCCTGTGTTTTCTTCTAGTGTTTTTATGTGTTTTCCTTTTTACTGTAAAATTTTGTTGACTACGTCATTTATTGGTGTTTGGTGTGAGGAAGGAATTTAGTAATTTTTTTTTAGATAACTAGTCTGTTATGCCAGCACCTTTTCTTCTTTAAACAATCCATCTTATCCTCAGTTATTTGACACACCATTTATATCATACACTATGTACTTGAATTTATTTTTGGATTCTTAATTTTGTTACGTAGTTTCCCCATTATGCTACCCAACTACCATGTTCATAATATATTTCATCTTTTTTACAATTTGCTGTTTTTATTTTGTATTTTGACATGTATCTGTGATACTTTAAAATAAGAAATTTCTTGGCTTTTGCTGTTCTATTAATGTTTAAATCCTCTATAAAGCAAAATTTTATTTTTCCTTCCATTGTGCAATTAGTCTCTGAAATTAATTTTTAGATATCTGCTCATGAGCTCCTCTTTGGTCATTGCATTAAAATTTAGAAGTAGTCTCTGGTCAAATAATGATAAAAACCATGTAACTCCATAATTTCTCCTCAATTTGAATAATTTTTCTTTTCCTTCCCAGCTTTTAATCTAGACAACGAGCAACCGGATTATGATATGGATTCAGAAGATGAGACCTTATTAAATAGACTTAACAGAAAGATGGAAATTAAGCCTTTGCAATTTGAAATTATGATTGACAGACTTGAAAAAGCCAGTTCTAATCAGGTACTGTACCATGTAAAAATGTCTCTTATCTTACAGTTAACCCAATTAGCATGTTTATTTTGCATTTTCTTTAAGAGCTGAATGTGTTGCATTTTACTATCTCTTGAATTTTTTTTCCTGACATCCTAGAATTTTTATTTACAATATTTGAATGGAATACTTAAGCATAATTTCCTTGAATATGAGTATGAAGTTCTGTTCTGACTCTTTTTCTGTTTGGATTAAAAATAATACTTGTTACAGTGTTATAATATCTTCTTGATTCTTTCCTTATGGCTGTCTTTTTGGTGCTTCAGTAACTAAATTTGCTTGGTTGGATCTCTAAGGTAGTCATCTTATGTCAAATCTTGCTCAGTTGCCCAGATTTATCTTAAGATACTCATCATTTTAAATCAATTTTAGTTTTAATTATATAATATTAAAACGTTTAAGTGAGGAAAAAATTATTCACAAGGTAATAAAGAGTTTTTAGTAAGATATATATATATATTTATGTATGTATGTATATTGCACAGGGGATTTAAAATGGTACTGTCTTTCTGGAAAGCAATTAAGCAGCCTATGTTAGGAGCCTTAATATGTTTATACACTTTGATTTAGTAATCCCATCTCTAGGAATTGTTCTAAAGAAAAATAATTAGAACAGGGATGCTCAGAATAAACTACAAGTTGTCTATAGGATGGAATATAATACAGCCATTAAAAATTATGATTTTGAGGGATGTCTAGTGCTGTAGGAAATTGTTTGTTATATAATATTAGATCTAGAAAACAGGTTACAGAATTATTTATGTGGAAAACTCTGAGGTTTGTATACAGCATTTATACGTATATACATATGTAGAAAAAGAACAAGAAAGTACAACAAAATGCCAACAATGCTTGTATTTGAGTGCTGGAATTATTAGTGATTTTTATGTTCTTTATTTTTCTGTGTTTTCCAGATTTGCTATAATGAGCATTGTTGATAATGTTATTAGATTTTTTAAAAATGAACTATTTTTAAAATAATTTTGGTGTACCTGTGTATTAATATGCTAATTGTTAATATACTAGATTACAGACATAATAAAGTTGCAAATAAACTTTTTACAGTAGATCATTAAAACTTTTCACTAGTTTACTCATACAAATTCATTATTTTCCCTTACTCTACTGCTTAAGTCTTTTAAATCTCTGAGGCATTCTCAGCTTTTCAGAGCATTTCCCAGATTTTTTCATTAGAAAATGACTTTGCTGCATATTTAGCCTTTCTTCCAGTTTTTTCTCCCCATTATGATGGAAAGTAATATCCATCAGTACTATCCAAAGAAGTATACTTTGAAAATTGAATTTTGTAAAATTCAGTTTATTGGTTTTTGAGAGCTTCGTTGTCTTTCTTGTTTTTTTATTGGGAATTTTTCTAAATTACCAAAGTGATATTCATTATAATTAATGCTTACAGTTTTCCAGGGATTTTGATCACTGGTATCAGATGAGTTTCCGTTTTTCTTTAGATGTAAATTTTCCTAGCGTTCGTAGGCTGGATCAGTCTTTTGGTATTTTTACTGTTTCTCGTGTTTGCTTAGAACTTACTCATTGTGTCTAAGATTATATCATCAAGAGCCTTCAACTCTCGGTTCTATACTTTGCTTTCTTTCAGTCAGTCAGTAATATTTATTTAGTGCCCAGGTGAACAAGACAGGTGATAGCACTGAACAAGACAGATGACAAAAGTTCTGCCCTTGTGGAGCTTATTATCGAAGTGGGCAGGACAAACAAAAAAGTATGTAAACAGTGCAGTTAACTATGTGCATAAAATCAGCACCATCCTCCTATTTTAGTTCTCTTTGCCCAGAGACAAGCTTCTAGGCCTGAAACAAACACTGGCTAGGCACAGAGCATGATAGCATTTGCTTTCAGCAGTACAGATAAAAGTGGAAATTTAATCATTGGAATAAGATAATGGTCCTGTTATTAGAACCTAGGATTAAACCAAAGGGCTGTCTTCATTCCAAGTCCTTGATTGGTCAATTCATTGATCCCCTTATTTTTCCTTTTTGGGGGTTGGCATACTACCAGATCCCAGGACAAGGAATCAAGTTTATAGTTAAACTGATATTTATCTTAATATTGGTAGAAAAAGACATAAAAGATAGACTGAAGTAGACCTTCCGTGTCCATAATTCTAGAAGACTACTTCAATGGAGGCATTATTGAAAGCCTTTGTTGCCAAATGCTGTAATTATTTTCGATCTCAATCTGTTTATTTTATTTGTACTATCCTTATATTTTGAAACTATCTTCACATTTGTGAGTTTTTTAAATACAATTTATTCCCTTCTGGTTTTATTATTTCTTATGACCATTCCTTCTAACTTTATTTCGCTAGCTCCTTTTTATTCAACTCCTGTAAACATCATGTGTCTTGAATTTCTGTTCTTGGTATTCTTATCCTATATATTTTTGGGTAATAGCATATTTTGTGGATATAATAATCCGTATACCTTTGGCCTTGACCTCTTTCTCAAGCTCCAGAATTTTTTTCTCTTTTTGGTTCTTCTTATGTCCACCTAGATGGTCCTTAGTCCTCTCAAGTTTAACCTTTCCAAAACTGAACTTACTGTCTTATCCTAGATGATTGCATATTCCTTATCTCTCCAGTGACTCCCAAAACTCAGAATCACCTATTTTTTTTATCCTTTTCCTTCAATCCCTAAATTCATCTAGTTACCAAATTCTTTGATTTAATCTTAATAATCTTCTTTCAGACATGGCAACTAATTGCAATACCTGACCTGAGACTGAATCTTATACTGGAAGGGGGAAAATGCTACAACGATTATTTTTGAGTCAGTTGACGAAATTGGGATATGGATGGTAGATTAGGTAAAATATCAATGTTAAATTTACTAAAGTTCATTACTATGGTTATGGAAGAGGATATCACTATTCTTTATAAATATACACTTAAGTATTTTGGGGGTAAAGAGCCATGATATATGTAACTTACCCTCAGATGGATTAGAAAAAAGGGTGTGTATGTGTGTGAGAGAGAGAGTGTAGCGTGCATGTGCACAAGTGTTAAAACAAACGGAGATGAAAGCTAACAGTGAGAGAGTCCAAATCTAAAGGGTATACAGGTATTCTTTGAAATACTTTATTTTTGCAAATTTTCTGTTTTCGATGATTTCTAAACAAAAAGTTTATTTTTTTAAATTACAAGCCACCTTAAAGGGCATTCTCTTTCATAGGATTTCCTCTAAAATAAATACCTTAATAAAACACTTTCCAAGAAATAAATGTTTTTTAAAAGTTTTGTTTCTAAAACCCTCAGTGTTTTAATTTATAAAGCTTTATTTTCTCCTTCTTATAAACTATCTAACACCCTATTTTTTGTTATTTATTAACCTCTCTACTCTGTTGACCTTTCACTGCTATCCACTTACCACACATTCCTTCTATACTTTTTCTTTACTCCCCTACCCAAAACAGAATGCTCTTTCTAAACCATGAAGAAAATAGAGACCCTCAGCCATGAGTTCCATCATTTTCCTTCCCTCTACCTCCATACCACCTTTTATCCTTTTTTATAGAGGCATAATCCTAAACCCTTTGTAACTCTTCCTTGTATACCTTGTATATTCCTTGAATATTTTATTTTCAGTCATCTTTTCTCTCATTTCTTCAATCTTACTCTGTCCAAAAAGTTGCCCGAGGGTCCCTATTTCTAAGAGAACTCTTTCATTTGACCCCATCTTTGTCAGTAAACTACCACCCTGTGTCTTTTCTTTTTTTGTCATAGCTAAATTTTCAGAAGTTGAGCTATACTTGGTGCTTCCTATGTTTACATTTTTTTTTTTTTACAGTACTTTGAGTTGCTGTTTTACCTGTGTTCACCTTTTATTCATTCACATCACAATCCATTTCAGTTTACTGAAATTGCACTATTTAAGATTACCAGTAACCTCCTAATTGTCATCCAAGAGCTTCTTTTCAACCTGTATCCTATTTAAAATATCCCTGTAGTGTTGGATGATGTTAACAAACACATTTTCCTGATTCTTTTTTTCTTTTCATCTCCTCTTTCATTGTTCCTCTATATTTCATGCATTGGTGGTTCCTTTGGTATCTGTCCTGAGCATTTATTCTTTACTAACAGTTTGTTGCTGGTTCTCAAATCCGTGCCTTTTCCCACTAAGCTCCAGAGCTGTGTTTCTTATTGAACCTCTCCACATGAGCAAGTATTTCAGATTCAACATTCCAGACCCCCCTTACTTTACCTCCCCCAGGTTTGCTTTCTCTTTCTCTGTTAATGGCATCATCATCTTCCACTCAATTGATCAGCTTTGCACTTTAGTGCTTGACTTCTTTGTAATCATTCATATATCCAAATGTCACTAAATCAAACCAATTTTTTGTTTCAAAATATCATACTGGCTGAGTAACTCTTAGCCAAAATGCTTGGGACCAGAAGTGTTTCAGATTTCAGATTTTTTTCAGATTTTGGAATATTTGCAGGTACATAATGAGATATTTTGGGAATGGGACCCAAGTCTAAACATGAAATTCATTTATGTTTCATATACATCTTATACACGTAGACTGAAGGTAATTTTATACAACTTTTTTTATAATTTTGTGTAACAAAATTTTGACTACATTTTGACTGTGACCCGTCATTTGAGGTCCAGTGTGGCAGTGTGGAAGTTTCCGCTTGTGACATCATGTCGGTGCTCAGAAAGTTTTGGATTTTGGAGAATTTTGGATTTTCAGATTAAGGATGCTTACCCTGTATTTGTGTGTACCTACTTGCCTCATTTTTATTACCTTTCACTTGAACTACTACTATTCTGCCACCAGCCATATTATTAAACACTAGTCTCCTAAGGAAAAAAAAAAAGCCAGCTTCCACTGTCTATGAAGTAAAATCTATATTCTATCTGACTCCAGCCACACTGGGCTTTTTTCTGGTCCCCTGTGTACCATGTCCTTTTATAGCTCTACGTTTTCCCTTCTGC